AACAACACAACCAAACCAGACTTAAACAATAAACCAACCACACACAGACACAATCAACCAATATGCATCACCCTCCCGATACAACACAAATATGGGAAAATCAAAATATTTGAAATACGGACGATTAAACCCTACATTCAAGTTAATATCTCATCAAAAAGATATACCACGAACATAATGCACACACCAACAGGAAGCAAAAACATTAAACAAGCCGCCTGAACCAACAGAAAAACGATTTACCGATCATAGACCTTCCCTAAACACCGCCAAACTCAAACCAACTTAAAGAATCGAAAATACCGCAAAATGCCGAAAACACCAAAACACGTCCAAACACGGAAAAGTTTACAACCCTTCTAATACACACAATATGAACATTACATATACCTGACCATGAAGCTGACACAATGAACAAAACAACCAAATTAAAATTTCAACATCGAACTGACCATACCATGATGCAATTAACTAATACGCATACACCCTCCCGATAAAACACAAACATGAGAAAATCAAAATATTTGAAATACGGGCCATCAAACCCTACATTCAAGTTAATATCTCAACAACGAGATATGCCACGAACATAATGCACACACCAACGGAAAGCTAAAACATTAAACAAGCCACCTGAACCATCAAAAGACAATTTACCTACCATAGACCCATCCTAGTCACAACCAAACTCAAACCAACTCAACAAATCGAAAATACCGCAAAATGCCGAAAACACCAAAACACGACCAAACACGAAAAAGTCAACAACTCTTCTAATACACACAATATGAACATAACATATACCTGACCATGAAACTGAAACAATGAACAAAACAACCAAATCCAATTTCAACATTGAACCGACCATACCCCGATGCAATTAACCAATACATATACACCCTCCCGATAAAACACAAATATCGGAAAACCAAAATATTTAAAATACGGGCCATTAAACCCTACATTCAAGTTAATATCTTAACAACAAGATATGCTAGCAACATATCACATATGCCAACGGAAAGCTGAAACAGTAAACTTACCACCTGAACCACCAAAATGTAATTTACCTCCCCTCAACCCACCACACCACGCACACCAACTCAACAAATTGAAAACACCACAAAATGCCTCAAAATACAACCAAACACGAACAAGCCAACAACCCTTTAAATACACACAATATCAACATATAACATACATGACCATATGGCTTAACCACAAACCAAACCAAACTAAAATTCATCAATAAACTGACCACGCCTTTATGCAATAAACCAATACGCATAAACAACCACCCCCCTCCCGCTAAAAACGAATACGGGAAACCTATTAAAATACAACTGAATGATAGAAATAAAACAGCATTATCATTCACAATAAAATCACAATAAATCACATACAACATTCATTCGGCCGCTGAGGAAGAACAATCATGGGATACCCCCATGAGTTCGAAACATCTTGGGGCCTTATAATGACCAACATATAAGGGAGAAGATCCGCTACAGGATCGGGATGTCCGGCCTCTCTCTACGTGAATGAAGATAGGGAATAACACACCAATGTCATTACTCTAGGATCTACCAAATATACACTACCCGTCACATGAGTACTGACGATGGTTAGGGGAAGCTTAGCTACTAGACCTTGTCTGCCAGGCCCCCCGACCGAGACCTCTCACCAGAAACACAGATTGCATGACATGTGCGTGTTTAATACAGGTGATGTCTCAAGACATTGTCTAAGTCACCATTCCCAAAAGTAAATAAAAAACTTGATTTCAAGTTACTATGGCAACCATTTCTTATTCAATGTTTCCGTTATTCTAAATATTGTTAGCTGGATTAATAAACCATTCCATGCTGCACATTCTGTGAAAATTTCATAGGAAAATATTGAAAAATAAAGAAATTAGAGAGATATTATGAGAACTTTATGATCAACCCTCGTATGTCACATTGCTCAGCTTATGGACAAATACCAAGTATATTTCATCTCAAAAACGATCGGACACATTTTGTAGTAGAAGGGCTGTACCATCTTACCACACTTGGTGTTTCGAACATTTCTTATCAGCGTTCCGAATATTCAACAATCTTTTTCTGCCGACCCGGCAATACAAAAATATATACACTTTATAACTCTATGGAGATAAACACTCACTCCAATTCATACTTTAAAAAACAACGCATTTACTCACAAACAACCAACCGAACCAGGTTTCCCCAACCGGGAACCCTATTTAGAAACAGCCCATTCTTAAAAAACAATGGAAGTACATGTAAAACACAAACATATACAACGGACTATCAAACACATTACCCGTACATCATATAAAACTCATACCAACAAACAAAACAAACGAAAAAATTTTTAACAAACAAACTGACAAAATCGTGATCTACAATTCACCAAAACGCATACACCATCCCGACAAAACACAAACACGGGACAATCAACAAATTGAAAACACGGTAAGACAGCCCCTAGAAACAAGTTAATACCTCAATAACAAGAGATGCTACGACCACAACATATACATCGAAATAAAGCTTAGACATGACACTACACACCCAAACCGTACCATACATACCAAAAAAGTCACAAAACAAACACGAAATTTACAAACCAAAATACCACAAAACTCCGATAAAACCAAAATACCGTAACCAATCGCGAACGAGCTAACAACTTCCCCAACGCACACACTACCAAAATAAAAAAACAACTCACCATAAGGGTAAACAACAAACCAAACAAACAAAACAAATTCAAACAAACAAATTGACAAAAACTTGATGCAATTAATTAATACGCATACACGATCCCGACAAAACACAAACACGGGATAATCAAAACATAATGAAATCACGGGAAGACAGCCTCCAAAATCAAGTTAATATCTCAACAACAAGAGATGCTACTACCATAACACACACACCAAAATGAACCTCAGACGTGACACTACACACCCAAACTGTTGCAAAACAACTTATCTACCACTTACATATAAAAACGCCACACAAAACAAATAAAACAAGAAATTTACAAACCAAAACACTACAAAACTCCGATAAAACCAAAATACAAACAATCGCGAACAAGCTAACAACTCCCCCAACGCAAACACTACTGACATAAAACACACCTAACCATAAAGGGTAAAAAACAAACCAAACAAACAAAACAAATTCAAACAAACAAACTGACCACAACTTGATGCAATTAATCAATACGCATACACGATCCCGACAAAACACAAACACGGGATAATCAAAACATAATGAAATCACGGGAAGACAGCCTCCAAAATCAAGTTAATATCTCAACAACGAGAGATGCTACTACCATAACACACACACCAAAATAAACCTCAGACATGACACTATACACCCAATTCATGGAAAAACAACTTTTCTACCACATACATACCACAAACGCCGCCAAACATACACAAAATTTACAAACCAAAATACTTCAAAACTTCGATAAAACCAAAATACAACCCGACACGGGAAAACAGATCCCCTGTCAAGTAAACATATTAACAATAATATATACTACCACCACTGCACACTGTCACACAAATCAACACTAAGCTCAAACACAAGACTAAACACCCAAACCTTTGACAAACAGGGAACCCACCACAAACTCACACTACACACATCCAAACCAATACCATTTTTATAAACGAAAATACCGCAAACTCCGATAAAGCAGAAACGCTACTAAAGACAACGAATTTACAACTCTTCCAATTTACATACCATGAACATAAAACATACACCACTATATATGAAACTTAAACACAGAACCAAACCACAACGTCATCTTAACCAAAAGTTATCTCTGACACAACTGAATGATAGAACTAAAACCCAAACAGCATTCTTTCGGCTGCTGATGAAGAAATATAAGTTAGTAATCATCGAATAACTCGATGATTATAGGAAATGACACATCAATGTCATAACCCTAGGATCAACCAAATATACTCTACCTGTCACATAAGTACTGACGGTGGTTTGGGGAAGCTTAGCTACTAGACCTTGTCTCCCAGACCCCTCGACCGAGACCTCTCGCCAGAAATGACACTTGTACTATGTACTGTAATGTGCCAGGCTAGCTGCGTTAGATACGCTAATAAGAGGCATTTCCAATGAAATCAGTTACAATGATTACTGGGATTGTTCACATACGGCATCTGCAAATTTCATGTAAATTCATCGCATTGATTAAATTCACTATCCAATAAAAATGTGCATTTATACTGTGCTGCGATTAAATGGGGACAGATGATTTAAAAAGAATTTCGAAAAACGCTTTGTTAAATTATTTGTTTCCGTCTAGGGCGACTTATTTAGAGAGTCTTATCAATTGTATAATAAAATGTGATGTACATGGAAAGCATACATCTTCATTCATCAGATGTTTATCGGGATGAAGAAAAGAACTTAATATCCACTGGGAATGAAAGATCGTGTAATTGTACGTTGAAAGATAATGGTTTTAAACCTGATTTACCATTTGCCCATCGGGTAAGTAAATCGAATCTCATACACTTACAATGTAACTACGTGAAACTATAATGTGGCGTCCGTGGAACGAATGGTGAGCGAAAGCTACGCGAATGAACCAACTCCGTGGTACATACGAAATTACCCCGCGATGAGCTTGAAGCGCACTCGTGACGCGCCCGCGGTGACCACGAAAAGCGTTCGATTTGACCACGAAATTCGGGCGGCATGCCGACGACATGGCATGGTGTAAGGCTAGTAATTAGATGTACGGTATATGCAACTTTAGAATAATTCTATTGTTTTACCGAATAACTATCTCTATGCATCACGCGTACATGTTAGATAACCCATTGAAATAACATTTATGTTATATTATTTTACATCTTGTCCTTTCGATTCTTCGATAATTGATATATCAAAAATAGAAAACCTGAAATTTAAAATACTAATACACAATGTCAATATTTTCTTTATGTAGGGAACCCAAAATGTATTTCATTTATAACATGCACATATTTATATTATTCTTATTCATGTTTTATTATGATCGATCCATACTCTGGTTTTCTGCACATGGAGGACCAGATAGATTAATTTTACTATATCGACTGTTGAGTGAGGTCAGCTTGCTAAAAAGTGGCGATGCTTATCTAAAAGATAATTGGTTCAGTTATGCCATAGTGGTAATGTCACAGCTCGTCGTTGAGACAACGTGAACTGCTCCAATTCAAAAATACTTTGACCAATCAAAGCAAGATATTCTTGTTTGATATTGTGTTTTAAATTGTCAATGGCGCATTTACATTTGATTCTTTTTTAGTTTTCTTTTTTATTGGTGGTAGATAGTCGAAATTGTCCTTTTCTTTTTGGCCTTTGATCTTTTTTATTTTCTTCTCTACTTGTTTTTGTCGCTCTTTGGCTTCTTTTGCCTGAACCTTGGCGATTTGCTCTCTTTTGTACTGCCTCTCGACGTTGATCATCTCTCTGAAAAGATATTGGGATTACTCTATTGCAAATTTTGCTAATTATGTGTAATATTTCATTTTTCAAATATTTTGAAAATATAAATTCAGGCTACTTGGTGTTATGTCTATAATTCATTTCTTTCCTCAATACAATAAAACAACACAAGTCAGTGAATGGGCTAAAACTGAGCGGATATTTTTTATTATTATTATGTAAAAGATTCAGACAAAACAGTTAAAAAAAACCTTATGTTACGTATATACAGGATGTTTAAATGAATGGGTGGGAGGGAGTGGCATAAAATCTTTAAACGAACACACAATGCGCATGTGTGAATTGCCACTCACTTTTCCAGGCACGTGTGCGGTGATCACCTACTTGACATGTATCAATATAACATGCCCATGTTACAATCCCATAGATAGGTGAACATATTTCGTGATGATTTCTGTAACATGCAGACAAATGTGGCTTTGGTAGGCTCGCACATGTGTAGAAAGCGCAACCAACATGTAAAATCACGCGGCAATGTACCCTGATCATGTTCTGGTGTAGCAAGCGTAGTTGGCGTAGGCCTAGGGTGAACAATGACAGTGTGTGAGTATACCTACAGACTCATGTTTCCGTGTAGCAAGCGTAGCTGGCGTAGTAAACATACCATACTGTTTTTCTTCAAATAAATGCACGTAGCAGACGTAGCAGTACACAAGGGTGACCCTACAGTGTGTATGTATACCTGTAGACTCATGTTTTGGTGTAGCAGGCGTAGTTGGCGAAGTCAACACAGTACATACTATGAAGTGGTCATTTTCAATAAAATATCCGTAGCAGACGTAGCTGTACCCAGGGTACACCATGGCAGTGTGTGTGTATACCTATAGACTCATGTTTAGGTGTAGCAGGCGTAGTTGGCGAAGTCAACACAGTACATACTATGAGGTGGTCATTTTCAATAAAATATCCGTAGCAGACGTAGCTGTACCCAGGGTACACCATGGCAGTGTGTGTGTATACCTATAGACTCATGTTTAGGTGTAGCAAGCGTAGTTGGCGTAGTAAACATACTATACTGTTTTTGTTCAATTAAATACCCGTAGCAGACGTAGTTGTACATAGGGTGACCCTACAGTGTATGTGTATACCTATAGACTCATGTTTTGGTGTAGCAGGCGTAGTTGGCGTAGTCAACACAGTACATACAGTATGAAGTGGTCATTTTCAATAAAATACTCGTAGCAGACGTAGCTATACCCAGGGTACACCATGGCAGTGTGTGGTATACCTATAGACTCATGTTTGGGTGTAGCAAGCGTAGTTGGCGTATTAAACATACTATACTGTTTTTGTTCAATTAAATACCCGTAGCAGACGTAGTTGTACATAAGGTGACCCTACAGAGTATATGTATACCTATAGACTCATGTTTTGGTGTATCAGGCGTAGTTGGCGTATTCAACACAGTACATACTATGAAGTGGTCATTTTCAATCAAATACTCGTAGCAGACGTAGCTGTACCCAGGGTACACCATGGCAGTGTGTGTGTATACCTAGAGACCAATGTTTTGGTGTAGCAAGCGTAGTTGGCGTAGTCAACATACTATCATGTAGTTATTTTCAATAAAATACCCGTAGCAGACGTAGCTATACCTAGGAAGGACCATGCCAGTGTGTATGTATACCTATAGACCAATGATTTGGTGTAGCAAGCGTAGTTGGCGTAGTCAACATACTATCATGTGGTTATTTGCAATAAAATACCCGTAGCAGACGTAGCTATACCTAGGGTGGACCATGACAGTGTGTATGTATGCCTATAGACCAATGTTTTGGTGTAGCAAGCGTAGTTGGCGTAGTCAACATACTATCATGTGGTTATTTTCAATAAAATACCCGTAGCAGACGTAGCTATACCTAGGGTGGACCATGAGAGTGTGTATGTATACCTATAGACCAATGTTTTGGTGTAGCAAGCGTAGTTGGCGTAGTCAACATATTATCATGTGGTTATTTTCAATAAAATACCCGTAGCAGACGTAGCTATACCTAGGGTGGACCATGAGAGTGTGTATGTATACCTATAGACCAATGTTTTGGTGTAGCAAGCGTAGTTGGCGTAGTCAACATACTATCATGTGGTTATTTTCAATAAAATACCCGTAGCAGACGTAGCTATACCTAGGGTGGACCATGAGAGTGTGTATGTATACCTATAGACCAATGTTTTGGTGTAGCAAGCGTAGTTTGCGTAGTCAACATACTATGATGTGGTTATTTCCAATAAAATACCCGTAGCAGACGTAGCTATACCCACAGTGAACCAGGGCAGTGTGTGTGTATACACTCATATTTTGGTGTAGCAAGCGTAGTTGGGGTAGTCAACACAGTACATACTATGATGTGGTTAGTTTCAATAAAATACCCGTAGCAGACGTAGCTATAAGACCCTTTAACGTGCTTCATAACACGGACGAGTGAATTATACATGAAATACATGTTATGAAAGTTTTAATTGAGATATAAGTTTAAAACGTATAAAAAGACAGGATTTTGACGATGAGTGTAAACTTATAAATTATATCCACGCGTACAGACAATAACACACTCTTGTGTCTCAATGGATGGACAGTGAACACTATATATACAAAATTAATAAGCTAAATATCTAAAGTGTCCAATCAAAGTTATCAAACACGTTGACTAGCATTTTAATACACTATTCAATCCAATCTCAGTGCTAGCGATTACTGCATCGAGCCACTTGGTTGCATAATCAACTCTAGAAATAACGTTTAAAAATGACCCGCAGTCATTACAGACTTTTTGCGAGGAATTTTATTTATCGTACACGAAAAATACCACATCCGTGCTTCGTACTTGCAATATAACTGAATTATAAGGTGTCGGATGCGTTCTAGGTGCAAATCACAATAATTATAACCTGACGATGAGGGAGCGGCAACTTGTGTCAAGTGTAAACTGACCGTAATTGTTAAGTTTCAATATGACATGCATCTGACACCCCCCGCTCTAATTTCCAAGTTAACGTGATGAAAAATACTTTGCCTGCATTACTATTAGGGTTAACTGTGAATCGAGGTACGAGCATTGAGACAACGTACATTAGAATTGACAACGTACATTATGTACAAAATACAACTACGCTTGCTACACATAAGAAGGAGTATACAGGTATGTCATGGTCCATGCTTGGTATAGCTACGTCTGCTACGGGTATTTTATTGAAAATAAGCCCAGTATAGTATGGTATGTTGACTACGCCAACTACACCAAAACATGAGTCTATAGGTATGCATACACACTGTAGGGCCCACCATTACTAGGTGTACCTACGTCTGCTACGGGTATTTTATTGAAAATAACCAGATCATAGTATGTTGACTACGCAAACTACGCTTGCTACACCAAAACAAGCATACACCCTGTAGGGTCCAGACTAGGTATAACTACGTCTGCTACGGGTATTTTTTGAACATAACCACATCATAGTATGTTGACAACGCCAACTACGCTTGCTACACCAAAACATTGGTCTATAGGTATACATACACACTGTCATGCTCCACCCTAGGTATAGCTACGTCTGCTACGGGTATTTTATTGAAAATAACCACATGATAGTATGTTGACTACGCCAACTACGCTTGCTACACCAAAACATTGGTCTCTAGGTATACATACACACTGTCATGGTCCAACCTAGGTATAGCTACGTCTGCTACGGGTATTTTATTGCAAATAACCACATGATAGTATGTTGACTACGCCAACTACGCTTGCTACACCAAATCAGTGGTCTATAGGTATACATACACACTGTCATGGTCCACCCTAGGTACAGCTACGTCTGCTACGGGTATTTTATTGAAAATAACCACATGATAGTATGTTGACTACGCCAACTACGCTTGCTACACCAAAACATTGGTCTATAGGTATACATACACACTGGCATGGTCCACCCTAGGTATAGCTACGTCTGCTACGGGTATTTTATTCCAAATAACCACATAATAGTGTGTTGACTACGCCAACTACGCTTGCTACACCAAAACATTGGTCTATAGGTATACATACACACTCTCATGGTCCACCCTAGGTATAGCTACGTCTGCTACGGGTATTTTATTGAAAATAACTACATGATAGTATGTTGACTACGCCAACTACGCTTGCTACACCAAAACACTGGTCTCTAGGTATACATACACACTGTCATGGTCCACCCTAGGTATAGCTACGTCTGCTACGGGTATTTTATTGCAAATAACCACATGATAGTATGTTGACTACGCCAACTACGCTTGCTACACCAAAACAGGGGTCTATAGGTATGCATGCACACTGTAGGGCCCACCCTAGGTATGTCTACGTCTGCTAGTATGTTTACTACGCCAACTACGCTTGCTACATCAAAACATAAGTCTATAGGTATACATTCACACTGTAGGGTCCACCCTAGGTACATCTGTACGTCTGCTACGGGTATTTTATTGAAAATAACCACACCATAGTATGTTTACTACGCCTACTACGCTTGCTACATCAAAACATGAGTCTATAGGTATACATACACACCATAGGATCCACCGTATGTATATCTACGTCTGCTACGGGTATTTTATTGAACTAACTACGTGATAGTATGTTGACTACGCCAACTACGGATAATGCACTCGTAAATTACATTTCAAATTTCCCGTGTGGGTGATACGAATGATACACTTGTATTTGCATTTTTAAAATTCCCGTGTAGGTGAGCATGGCACAAGAACCCTTTTCCACTAGCTAATGCCTAAGACGTAGTATAGATGTCGTGTTATTCGATCAATTCATTAACTGATTAAATAGCAATTTACAAATATAAATAGGTATGAAATCCCAGTGACAAATGTAGGCCTACCTTGGGACCAGTGATTACTTAATATTTTACAAAGCTTCTCTCGATTCAGCCCCTAATAACTTCGGATTAACGAAAAATAATGATTGGGCAATTACTCACTCAAAAATAAAATTATATGTCATAAACGCATATCTTACCCAAGTTCTATCTTTCCATCATGGTTACTATCAGCCTTTTTAATTAGCTCAATCAGTTGTGACTCAGTAATGGGCACTTGCATTTCCTAATCAAAAATGTTATATGCTCATCAAAAATAATATCTATTTCATCTACTGCCTAAAGTCGTCTGATCATTACAAATGATACCTGCTCGTAAAAACACAATTGATTGTATTATAGTTTGGGCTTAAATCCCCCTATTTGTGACATGTGATTTTTTCATTTTCTTTATCTCAAGCAATGAAATAATTATTTATTCGCGAAACCTTTACATTTCAAATGGTATTTTCTAACTGACAGAGGCTTTCAACTTTTATTCCCCGGCTATTCAACTAATTGCAATTTTCTTCAACTTACAATCATGCCTTTCTTGAATTCCTTGGTTGTTATGATATTCTCCGCTCCTAGTACTTTAAATAGATCTATTACCCTATACCCTTCCTGCTTCATGAAGTCAAAAAGTATAGTAAGAGGGTCTTTAGTGTAGTCAATTTCATCTTTTTTACGCTCCCTAACGTCTCCTTTCACAACCGGACCAGTGATTGTTGCAAACCCCTGACGTTGTAGTTTGAGCACCTCCGAAAAATGAGCAAAATCTTGATTCACGGGTATATGCTGCAAACAAATTACAGCATAATTATACTTGTTTTTAAAAGAAATAAAAATTAGTAAATCGATGCCATAATTTTGAATATATACATTTGCGAAAGATCTTTAATATACCCATTCTTATGGAAAAGATAAAGAGAAATCTGGGGCAATGTGGTCATAAGGAAAAAAGATGTAATGACTCGCATGGTGATCTTGCCCCATTTTGCCTACTTACACTAAGGTCCAACAACTTGATCGCTATAGTTTTCTTCTGCCGTATTGTTTCTAGAAGAGCCTGTGTTGCTTTCAGGTTAAATGGGTTTCTCCCCAACTGAAACCATGACAATAATATGTATATAGCGATTGAATGAGTTGAACATAGGATCATTTTGGTACTTTTTTAGTTCTAAACCATTTGTGAGCGTTAATTTTTGTATCTTCTCAATATTCCATTTTCTTATTGCACATTTCTACTTAATAGCAGTCTGAGAGGTCTAAATTACCATATCAATTAAGGTGGGCTTACTGATGCAAATGGATATGTTTGCGCATGAGAAGTAATATTGAATCAGTTGAATTATTAATTCTACAAGGCCTACCTTCAAAATCTGAAACACGACTGGAACTAAAAAATAAACTTACTCTGAGAATCTCAAGCGTAGAATTTCGTTGTAATCCCTTTGTGATTTTTATAAGACCTTCAGCCCCAATTCTATTATTGCTAAGATCTAGCTCGACCAATGTATTGTTGCGTCTCATTGTTATTCCCAGTCTGTGGCACCCGTCATTTGAAAAACCGTTGTAGGCTAGATTAACCATCTTCAAACCTGTGTTATCCTGTGTGCCAAAAAACAAACTTTCGTATGATGGCGTTTTGTAGACTACAAGCAATGCAAATACCACTTGCACGAAGATTGCATTTACCATGGCGAATTGGACATTACTCATTATACCATAAGCATCAAGTGTAGTGAATTTTCATTTGTTAATCCAGTTATCAGGTTATACAGTGACCGGAAAAAAAGGAGACCATTGAAATAGGCAATATCTCCTAAAATAGACTAGTGACATCAATGAAATTTTGCATACATCAGGACAGTTCTATGGAAATTTGTTCCTGAAAGTGTCAATACAAGCAGTCAACTGGTTCAGGAGCTATGATCATTTACATAACATGCTCCAAATAGGCGCAATTGAGACCAACGCAGAGCTGGATACATTTGGCAAATACCCTTACATATTCCGACCTTGTTATGGCATTACATTTAGCATTTATTGCCACCTTTAGGTCAGCAATTGTCTCAGGATTGTTTTGGTACACATTGTCTTTCAAATTGCCCCACAAAAAGAAATCAGGTGGATTCAAATTTGAGGTGTATGGAGACGAAGCTTATCTGACCTATGGCTTCTGACTCAGTGGTCCCACTCAGTTACAGTATCATCCTAAGGAGGTTTTGGGCAGCCCTTGGTTTTCATATGGGATTTAATTGTGCCATATAGTGGTTTTAGTAACATGGCACTATGCCCAATACCTAAAGTGACTCTTAAGATTTGGTAAATCAGCACTTTGGCAACAGGATGATGAACCACATGTCAGATAACCCTTCATTGCCATTACAGCCTAGACTTGAATCCTGCTGATTTCTTTTTGTATGGATATTTGAAAGACAATCTATACCAAAACAATCCTCAGACTATTGTTGACCTAAAGAAGGCAATCACTGCTATATGTAATGCCATAATAATGCCATAGAGGGCAGAACATGTAAGGGTAGTTTGCCATATGAATCCAACTCTGCGTTGGTCTCAATTGTGCCTATTTGGAGCATGTTATGTAAATGATCATAGCTCCTGAACCAGTTGAATGCTTGTATTGAAACCTTCAGTAACAAATTTCCATATAACTGTTCCAGTGTATGCAAAATTTCATTGATGGCACTTGTCTAGTTTAGGAGAAATTGATTACTTCAATGGTCTCCTTTTTTTCCGGTCACCCTGTAGTAAGAAAATGAGTATCCATCTTTGACATAATCGATCGATATTTGTTGATACTTGGACACTTACATTTCGGATCGTCCTGTACTGCACAGGGCGGCAAATAAGTCTGTTCTCCCCTTAACTGATCATATCTGTCTAACGTACCTTCAATCCGACAGCTACGGACATTGCTCCCCTTCCCCTCAGTTGGTTCCAGCCAAGGTCCAGAATTTCCAGAGTGTCATTATTTCCTAGGTGATTGTTATATAAATGTGATAATCATTGAATGTGATAGATACATGTATGGCTGTCCATGTATAGTTAGGCTGTCTTTCTATACAAACCATAACAACATTTATAAAACATTCTTATCTGAAGAACTAAATTGGATAAATGTTACCACGAACGGATTAATATTGGCCCTTCCTTCATTCAAAAGTTTTGGGTATTTCAATGAATATGAAATCACTAAACATGATCTTGTTCTGTGGTCTCATTCAACATGTTCAATGCTACGCCGCTAATTCATGCAGATATCATATCCGTTCTTGGATAAAAATCAGATCACTCTTCAATCATAGGATATCAACCGTATATTCAATCCAATTGCTTCATATGTTTTGTATCAATCATATATCTAGATGTGCATTATTGTTATTGTGCCTCAATTAGATGAGGTGCTTTATCATAAATGGACGTTTTTGGCCCGACCTACATGTAATGTTACATGTATAAGGGAACATGGGGCAAAACGGCCATAAAAATTTAATTTCAAGTTGTTCTGTATGGGGTATTTTCTTACCTGTCAATCTTATCTCAGACGTTCAAACCTTTGACATATAAAGTATTCTTAACCCCTACCATAATTCTAGTCATTCGATATGCGTCGGAAGGAAATAAGGTATAAACCAAATGTTAAAATCGTTATATTTGAAAATCAATTGTTCATGTACAATAAGATTTTTGTTTGTTATAACCTTTGTGGGCCGTTTTGCCCCAAAGACGTGTGAATTTTCAAATAGACGTCATTTTAATTTGCCTAATATTTGAAGCTCGAAATTTTTCAAATAAAGAATAAATATGCATACTCTATGTAAAATGTTAAATCAAAACTATATTCTATTGTTGCCGGATTTTTTAGAGATTCTCGTGGGAGGGGTAATTTGCAAAAAAGAGAGTGAAAAGTAGAATTACCTCTTACGTAAAGTGAGACGCTGTTAGGTTAAAAATGGGAAGTCGAGAAGGTGGCGGGAATTTCAAAATTCGATTATCTGACTTTTGAAGAACGATCTTTTTATAGTTCAAAAGATATATCGATGGGCCATTTGCCCCACAGGGCCGTTTTGCCCCATGTTCCCTTACTCGTATAACTCCAAATGCGTATTTATACAGATATATATATTTTACAGATATACTGGTATAACTACTTACTCAATGATAGCCCAATTGCTACTGCACCCTCTCCCCTGAGTTCATTGTGACTAAGGTCCAACTTGCGCAGATGGATGTTATCCTGCAATGAACATAATTCCTGGTTTTAGAAACGTTCCCATAAAGTAAACGCGGTTTGTTATCATTTACTCATCTCTAGGTTTTATAAAAGCGTTTTCAAATTTTACCACTTTAAAATTGTAATTTGTTAAATATATAACATATAACAAAGTGTATGAACACTAATAATTAAACAAATGAATGAAACAAAGAAAAAAAGTTACCTCAATCATGCGTGCAATGAAGATTGCGTGCGCATCTTGAATATGATTGGACGATATGTTGAGGACCCGTATATTTTCATTTTCACGCATTGCATCGCAGATTGCACGAACACCTTCACCGCCTATATTGTTGTTCGCTATATGCTAGGAAAAGAGAACATGGGAGAAATTAGACTGATCAAAAATGAAAAGTTTCCATTACTTTATATTTAAAAATGGAGGATATGCGATTTCAGTGATAAATATATGAGTGTCATGGGACAGGAAATCTCGATTTCGAATTCGATGATGCAGATGTGCTACAAATGTAGTTAGCAATAAACTTGGTCGATGAACACCAGTGAATTTTCAAGATCAATTTCTACATTTTTCAAGTGGAACACGGTGGAACATATAGTGTTCTATTGTCCTGATATATTAAAAGTATTGTAAAATACTCACAATTTCTTTAAGATAAGAATTGCACAAAATTAGTTCAGACACATGTAGGATACCTTCCGGTCCTAGATAATTTTCCTCCAAATCTATAAGTTCAACACAAGGATTGTTCTGAAAAAGAAACAATGGTAAAAAGTTAAATGATAGTACCTTATGTTAGTCTCAGATAGTACTAAATCCACATTCCCTTAGACGCGGCATACATAGGGCATTGTACTTAGTATACACGTATAGTAATGTTAACACTTACAACCAGACCCACAGCCAATGCTCTCATTCCATCTGGTCCTATTTTATGTCCCACAATCTTCATTTGGCTACTGTTAATACTGGCACTGATAAATCGGGCTGGCACGATACCCATCTTTTTGCACATGTTAGTATATAAGTTGATTCTCTCATTTTTCTCAACTTCATCACGATCAATCTTACCCCACTTTTTCTCTGAAAATTAAAATAGTGGAAGAATATATATACAAGCTTTCATAGGCGTCTCATATCATCTGTGTATATGCGGGTGTTACTCCTAAGATTTGACATTATAATAATCCTTCGACAATACGAATCATTAAACTCACCAAATTTCTTCTTTGGTTTAAATGTTTTTGCTATTTCCGGGTCTATTGCAACTGCGTCCTTTTCTATTTTAGTGGGTTCCCTTATTAAACCTGGAGTAGTACTATTGCCAGTTTTAACATTTTTAAGGATCCCATGCCTTTGGGCGTCCTTTTCTTTAACGTCATTAGCTTTTAGATTCACCCTTGTGTTGGCTCGACTAAGAAACAATGTTGGTTTACGTTCACCTAGTCCAACCTGCTGTTCGACAATCATTGATGTCTGCCGCTGTAACGACAATGGCCTACTTTCCGACACTTCGTCAGTATCATTTTCAATTTCAACGATGTCATCTTCCTCTTTTTCAATATCATCCTCATCAGTTTCACAATCGACATCGTCATCTTCGATAGTTAGCGCCGAAGCTAACTGTTCACGTAGTTCTGCGTCTTGTTCTTTCTCTTCAAACATGGGGGAGTTTTCCGCGTGTCTTCTGAGAGAGGATTTAGCACTGACCATAGCTTTGACACAGCTTGTACGGCTGGCAGGCATCGGTGCTTTTAGAACCAGGTCGATTGCCCGGACTGTTCTCTCCTCCATAATTCACGATTTAATTAGTTATCTACAGGATGTCACAATATGCGATAGGGAGTAACTTCAACGATGTAACGTTTCATTGTTATCCAATATCAGCTAACGTCAATCCTATGAAAACGATGTCGCTATCATCAGTTATTTCTGCAATAAATTATTCGCGTGACTTTGCTAATCTAATATCAATCTGGCATCTCCAATGGTCACCTGCTACACTCTGAGATTTATTTTCCGATCGTGTTTGTTTTGATTATCGATATCTTATAAAGTATTAAAAACAAAGCTATCTCATGATACATTTTTATTGATCCCTAACCCGTCTACAATTTTATTGTTCCACGTCAGTGTGCCATTTTAGATTTAATCACAGATGCAGTTGTCCGATTCAGGCGTTCTATAATTGTTTCAAATTTCAAAAGTTGTAAATGTTTTTCTGGTTCCTCAAAGATAATTATTGATAAGTGTTCGATTTATTTTAGTTTCTAAGCTTCTCCATCAACTTGAATCTGTATAATGCCAAGACTTCTGTTTCAAAGGTCAAGGGATGCAAATCGCCAATTCGCAATTGACTTATCTTATAAATAAACAATTTTAAGATAAGTATTATTTAAATAAAGTTGTGAGGCTTGCAAATGATTTACCTTCGATCAATATAGCATATAAATTTTTGCTCGGAAGCGTTTTCTCACATATTCACTTTGCACTTAAGTATACCTTTTGTTTTGATCAACTATTGATATAAGTTATAAAATGTCTTCACAATACCCATAAACCATATCATTACAATAATCTACAATAGAGTAAATCTTAGAATATCTCAACAGCTGCAAGCGTTTGTTCATATTATTCCTTAGCTAGCAACTTGGAAAATTATATCGGTAACTTATTGTTATGAATAACAATAATATGAAAATAGTCGGCAGAAAATATCTGTATCAGCATGGTTTATGATCCATTGACGTTGATTACGGAAACACATTTGATCAGAAGTTAAGATCAGATTGCCTCTTTGGCGTCTATTCTCTTCTTCTTTCTTTTATCTTGTTTCCTTTCTGGCTTTTAGTTCATATATCCTATATTCCTTAATAACATGTATTTCCTTTAATATGCTCTATTTATATCAAACAACATCCTTCATAATCTTTCGCTCATATCTTGGCATCCGCTTTTTAGAATCGTTGTGTTTTATAAATCCTTATAACTTAGTTTAAAATTTTCATCAATATTGAACACTCGATTTCCAACATATCACCAATGTAAACTCCAGTCGTTGACACATACTACCATTCATATAGTTCATAGGTGGATGTTTAAGTGCGAAAGAAGTAGTCATATGCTTTTCAAAGCATGAATAAAAAACGACCTTTCAATAAAGCCAAAGCAAAAGTAAACAACGCATAAAGAGTGTGATGTGAAATATATTCGTCTCTACGACACAGGTTGTTTTCACTGGGAGTCAAAGGAGAATTTTATTGATTGGTTTCAGAATGAATTATCCGCTCGACAGAATGATAAAAACATGTTATGTCCTTGGTACTTGTTTAAATAAGCTATTCCTTTCATACATCGAGTGTTTTTTGTTGTTAAGGCACTTAAAAACTCTATCCAAGGACATACAGTCACATCCATGTATCTCTAATTCCAATATTACAAACCGTTAGATGATAGACGGTCATACGGGACAAGATAACCCTATCAGTGATACCGTTTCCAATAGTTTGACTTAAATTCTAGTTCTTTAAAAGAGAGCTTCATATACATTCTTAGTTAGGGATACTCCTTTAAATAAATGTGGCTGATCAATTCGTAAGAATAAAAATCCAGCTATCCCATCATGAATCAGAATTGCCATGGGCGTAGCCAGGGGGTGTGGAATGGGTGCGAACGCCCATCTCACCCATCTCCTATAACCGATACGAATAGAGCTTTTTATTAGAAGCTTCTAGCTCAATTTCAAAGGAGGTTACATTATTTTTTGTAAAATTTAAAACAAATCTTAAAATGTTTTTTGGCTCGCGTATGCCACGATCTGAAATCCGAATTTTTTGGTGATCCTGTCTGAAAGTTGGCTATGCCCATGATTGCATTTACTGAAATTTATGCTTTCATAAGTACCTAACATTCATTTCATTATGAAACTTTCATTCAAATCCATGTGACAGCTACACCTTTGAAGTCATTTAGATGTCACCAGCTTCAAAACTGGAGAACCTTTCTGTTAGACTCTGTCATTCTGGGTGGCCTGGCGATCTTGTGTCCGAACAACACAACATTTACTTTAAAAATTGAATTTATTTGGGAATCTCTAGCGTAGAATTTCAATTCAAATATACGTTCATTCCTTTAAAAATGACATTAGCCAGTTCTTTAAGAAACCATATTGGATTGCGATGAACTCTCTCTTCTATGTCGACTCGGTTTTTTATACATGTTCCCTATGTTTACCAATACAGTATGGCACTACTGCTCTGTTCATTATGATCCACTGTACCCAGGCCACTGTAGAATAACGTTTCTGCTCAATTGACCATAGGGTTAGCCAAAAAGGTAACCCAAAAATGTATGTTTTTAATTCAGTCCTTCAGCATGGGTTTAACATCATATTTGGCACAATTACACCTCGTTCAATGTTATCTCATTCTACTCGTAAGTGTCATTGCTCTATCCCTAATAGCCACGATTTTATGGTCATTTACAAAACATGGTCAAAATGCCGAAATGTGCCTCGCTGACTGGACATAATCCCACCAGATTTTTATCTTTGGGCCTATTTTCTGCACTAACAACCCTTGAAACATTGAAACAAGAGATAAGAGGGAAGATGATGAGAGCCATAACACAAGATGTTTATGCTCGTGTTGTGAACAACAACGCCCGATAAGTTCATTTATGTTAGTCTCAGGTTCAAGTTAGCCTCCAGACGTGACGCCCATATTCTATGGCATGTTTTGTAAAATGCCCATAAAATTGTGACAATACCTGGAGTCGAGAAGGCCTAATTGTGCCAAATATGACACTAAACCCAAGAGGATGACTGAGTTATTAAGATTTAATTTGGGTTACCTTTTATGGCTCACTTGATACTACCTTGAATTATTGCACTCAAGCTGATTGGCTGAGACACACTTGTTGGCGTGTCCAATTCCGTCAATCAGAACATAGTATTTCATATATCACTGTGGCTAGTCGATCCATGTGGATGCAGTCATTTATATGCAATGTTTCGTGGGTTCTCGCGTACATTATAGTGAATGGGGTCGTTGAAAAAATATGACAGAAAATCGAGGTAAGTGATCTCAGAGTTTCTACTTAACATATTGACTTGAAATCTTGCATACATATTCAATATACATAGTATGACAATGTGTGAAAGTTTCAGCTAGCATAGTCCTGTTATAGGAAAGATATTTGAACAACATTTTGTAAACGTCAACATATATGTATCAAATGGATTCAACTATGTATCATTTGGATTCAGAACGGTAACAAATGAATGCTATAATAAATTATGCTTTTATCATGATGATTTATTTACAGATGGACAACTGGCCAGATTTTCTTTGTATCCATTGTTCGGATAAACATTCCTTATTTAGTGAAGTAATTAGCCACACCATTACAATACACCCTCATGAAGAATTGAAAATTGATAGACTTTATATAGTCCCGTCAACTGGAAAATGCCATTACAGAAGGAAAAACTATGGTTTCATTCCTAATACTGTTAATTTGAAAAACGGGTCCATAACATGTAATAATGACAATGACGATGTTGAAATTAGGTACGCCAATCAAGTGAATTCAGAGCCCAAGAACCATCAACCCACTGAAATACCCACAGATCAAGTTTCAGAGCCATTAACATTCCTTGAAAGTGACAATGGGCAGCCAACAGATGGACCATCTGTAAATCTTGGTGATTTTGTCAGGTCAGCTGAAAGAGCCTACAGATTCCTTGAAAAAAATGACCCAATTTCAAGAATTATATCATCTATTTACAATTTTTTGAAATCGTGGTAAGTGGAATCTTTCCAATTACCAATATAGGATTATTATTGTTTTTGGACACTGTGGACTATTTCACCACTCCATGTGCCAAACAAGTAAGATACAGAAAGGAAACTAAATACTTTTGGTTCATGGGCTTTCGTCTGTTTCACGGGAAGTTTCTGAGGTAAGACTTTATTCATTTTTACTTTTAATTCTTATGATAATAAAATATAACTAGACTTTTGAAATTGAACAAGTTCAATTTCAGACTCCAGATCTAGACTTTTTTAAGCCCAGTCATCCAGAATAAGCCGAGTCATCCAGAATAAGCCGAGTCATCCAGAATAAACTGAGTCATCCAGAAAAAGATGGATGGATGGATGGATGAAATAGGAAGGAGGGATAGGATAGAATAGGAAGGAACGATAGGATAGAATAGGAAAGGATGAGATAGAATAGAATAGCAAGGAATGATAGAATTGAAAGGAAAGGAAAGAATAGGAAGGATAGATAAGAAGGATAGGATAGGATAACATGGGATAGGATAGGAAGGATAGGATAGAATAAGAAGGAACGATAGGAAAGAGTAGGAAAGAAGGATAGGATAGAATAGGAAGGATAGGATAGGAAGGAAAAGATATGAAGGAAAGATAGATAGAAGGAAGGATAAGATAGGAAGGATGGGTGGAAGGATGGATGGATTTTTCAACATTTTCTTCACTTCTCTTGACTTTCTATCAGGATACCATAAGATCGATTTTTCTCGAAATTTTAAAACGCCATAACATAAGTCGGATCGAAATTTGGTTTGCAGATTCAGATCCCTTAGGAAAATTCTATCCTTAATTCATAACTCATACGTTAAATTTAGAGAAGTTTTTATTTTGACCTACTTTTCAGACACCATATCTCAAAAGTGGGTCAAAATATTTTCTAACAGCAAAAAGCTAACACTATAAGCACACTCCTGGCTACATAAATACCAAATTTTGAAGAATATAATTAAGGTGTAGTGTCAGAATCGAAAAAATGAGGAAAAGCTTTGAATTTGACCTAGATTTTGACCTAGGCCCTGGACTGGACTTGGACCTAGACTTGACTTGGACCTAGACAAACACTGGACTTGGACCTGGACTGGACCTTGACTTGAACCTGGAAATGGACTGGAAAGGTATTTTTTCAATTTTTTCACTTTTCTTGACTTTCTATAAGGTTATCATCAGATCGAATTTTTCTCGAAATTTCAAAGCGCCATAACTTCCGAACCGGAAGTCGGATCGAAATTTGATTTGCAGGTTTGGATTTCTGAGAAAATTCTATCCTTAATTCATAACTCATACGTTGAATTTGGAGAACTTTTTATTTTGACCTACTTTTCGGACGCCATATCTCAAAATTGGGTCAAAATACTTTCTGACGGCAAAAAACTAACACTATTAGCACACTCTTGGCTACATGTATACATCATTTCGAAGAATATAATTAAAGTGTAGTGTCAGAATCGCAAAAATAAGGATAACTTTGAATTTGACCTAGATTTTGACCTAGGCATTTTGGTGTCCAAATTTTGAAGCTAGATGGCTTTTGAGGTTCCATTCTTTTAAAAGCTTTCATTGTATTTAGCTGAACTCAGTCTATATTTCGTATTTTTCACTTCAATAAAATCTTTTTTTCCCATTGACTTAACATTGGCACCACATTTAGCGATTTTTGAGCTTTCAAAACGCAATAACTTCAGAACCGGAAGTCACATTTGGTTTGCAGATTCGGATTCCTGAGATCATTCTACACTTATATCATAACTCACATCTCGAATTTGGAGAATTTTTTGTTCTGACCTACTTTCCGGACACCATATCTCAAAATCGGTAACAGTAATCAAAAATCTGATGGCACACTTATGAAAGGGCTGTTTCTAAGCTACATGGTGATAAAAGACAAAGTTGTTTCGATAAATAACGACGAAGATAATAGACAGATTTAAGATTTGACCTAGTTCTTGACCTTTGACCTAGATAAAAAAATTGACCCAATTTCCGAGAAACTAGATACTGGACCTAAATTGACCATATACAGGACTTGACTCAATGTCTTCTAGTTAAGGAGAAAACGTGTGTAGAAGAATAAAGAAGAAGAAGAATACTGACAAAAGCTATAGACTCCAGATTTACATCTGGGGTCTAATAAAAATGGTCCTGATCAACACAGGCTTCGCTATAAGTATTGCAGTAGCACATTGGTGGAGGAGGCCATGGTTCTTTACCATGCATTTTTAGTGCGCTTTAGCTATTGAAAAGGTTGCCGCATTCATCGCACATGTGGCGTGTTGGGGCAGTTTCCTCCACTGGCTGTACGACAACCAGATCCATCTACAAAATAGTTGTGATATATATTGAAAATAAAATCAAAATGTCCATCATCTTGAGTAAACATCAGATTATCGTTGGGCATCAAATATTCACCATATACTACTGTAAAATTATATTTTTGTTGAATTATTGTCCCAACTCAAGTTTATATGTAACCATATTTGTTTCTTCCTGATGTATCCAATGAGAGCGTTTAAGAAATATATGTAAAATATTAAAAATACACACATTCAAAATGATTCAATTAAAACCTAGCCAGTCTGTTCATTGAATCCAATTAGAACGTCTACTAATCCACATGATACATCATAATTAAATTGCTTTTTAAAGCGGATATTTCATACCATAACCCAAAAATAGTATAAAATGCGTTGTATTTGTATTTTACTTCACACGGACATATTTGTGTACGTGAAATAATTATATTACTTGAATTTTTTATTCCCCATTATAAGGTAAACCTATGGCAAATTATACATACCTTCTCACGGATATGAGCGAGGTGATAAAACTGGTCGAGTGAACTCGTTTGAGTTATCTATTCGCTGTAAAATTATCAGAGAATGTGTGTTTATAGCGTTGCTTTGGTTTGGTAAATCAATGAAGTATGATATACACGGATGAGTAAATGTAGATTATTTAAACAAAAGTGCAAATTTCTTCCATTGAAAAGTACAGAGGCGGGTACTCACGAAACATTACATGTGCTTGACTGCATCCACATAGATCGACTAGCCACAGTGTATATAGCATTATACTGCTCTAATGCACTCGGTCAATTTTTAGATTCTCATGAAACTGATAAACTTATCAATTTCATACAGTTGAATGAAATCTATAAATACAATTGGTGTCATAAGGAATAACACTCCAGGTGCTTAAATGCGGGTCAAATGTAATATTGACTGAGTGTCAATGTGATGCTTGTTGTCAACCATTGCAGAAGTTTCCTTGCAAAAGTTGCATTCTTTTAAGTGATACTGTGTGAAAATATATGCAATGTGTGAAAACAATTTGAACCCAGGACTCAATGCCACTGGTGATCCGCTCGATTACGCTGCACTGGCGGATTCAGAAGCTAACAAGCTAAGGGGGGGGGGGGCAAAGAAGGCCAAATTATGCCCAAAAAGAGGCCCTACAAAATTGTTGGGCCCTAAAAACATTTCTGGGCCCACAAAAGGGAGTGAAGGAGGGGTGGGTCCCCTGGACCCGCCAGTGCAAAGGTCGGAACTTCGAACGTAAATTTTTTCTTTTTTTCTTATTTCACGCATTGTATGCAGAATTCCCACGACATTTTTATCACACACGTGTGTCAGTATCATATGTCTAAGAAAATGTACAAGTTTGCGAACAAATAGATCAGAAGACAACAGAATCGTCGATTTAATACCTCACTATACTGTTACGTAAACGGAACGGGTAAGAAGTTTGTACGACGTGTTGAGAATGGGGCGTGAATTAAGACATTCTCCGTTACATTCATTCATTCCCAACATACATACCGCCATCCCAAAGAATGCGCTAGGGCATCTTCAAGTTTGCTCATATGAATATTGCACCCTGCATCGCATGCTTTCCGCACTTACAACTGTCACTCAGCCACGCGATGGACGATACTTAATTTCATAAATGATTTATATGTGTACACAGTAATGTTGTAGTAAAGAGAATGAACTCATAAAACGATCAAATGTCGGGAACCCAAAGTGCAAAATAAATACTTTATTCTTTTATTTGTATATATATCAATCTTCTCTGTTGTTAGAAACTCTTAAAAGTTATTACCCGTTGCGTATGTATGTGGTTTGTCTAAGACATATTCGTATTTACAGGTTGATTCAACCAACCTACAGACAAATATGGAGATTGATGTGTCCGATCCTCACGAAAGTAATACAACTCGAGATGTTCGTACTGCTGCAAGCAAGGCTTCTGTTACTTCTGTAAAGAAACCGGGGTCCAGACGGAGACAGCCCGGGGGTGAAAGTCAGACAAGAAAATCTACAGCAAACTCTATCAGAAGCTCTCGCATTAGTATGTCTTCCAGAAATGAAAGTGTCAAAGCAAAAAGCAATGAATTGTCTCAAAGAATCGAAGAGGGGGAGGAGATTCAGGACATTACAGCTAAGCAAGCAATGCCAGAAATTGGCTCGATGGAGAAGCAGGCGACTGAGATCTCATTAGGAACGCGAAAACCAACGTTATTCCTCAGTCGAGCCGCCACTAGAATTATCACAAAACAATCGAAAACACATTCGCCAGAAACTGTTGGTTTTGGTAGCAAAATGCCAACGAATCTATCTGATGCTAGTCTAGGAGATGATGAGAGTGATATTGCTAATGAACTGAACATGATAGCAGACCTACTGAAGCAGCCAACGATACATAAGGAGTTCACGTTTTCGGGATATGACATCATGAATGACGGTACGTAAGAGACAATTCCATATCATAGAAATGAACTAATTTTGTTCTCCTTCTTTGTAAAACCGTAAAATATTTCTGTTTATTTGGCTTTCTTTGCAATTTATAAAAATCATCATGATTGGATGATTATCTTTTGTTCATCTTAATTTCAACATAGACAGAGGCTATGAGCTTTATATTTGCCTTGTTGTGATGTCAGCTTTCCTCCGTCCAGAAGTCGATTTATGTCATAATCCCAGGCTACTCATGTTCTATCATGTAAAGGACACCCTATAAGCAAGAATCTTTTGAAATAACTCATGACAAATAATTATTTGCAAAACCCAGAAATGTATATTAATGTTCATCAACACAAATCCATCATAATCCATTGAATTAACGTTTAGTCGATACACCATCACCAGCTGGGAGCCGTCTGACAATGGAACGGAAAGAACGTGTTTCGATGTATGAAGTAATGTGTAAAAGGGAGAACGTCTTACCAGAACAGTGCGTACTCACAAAATTGATGAAATCTAGTCTTAACGTGCAGGGTAGGAAGCTTGGGCCCAAAGGTGTCAAAGCAATGGCAGTTGCTATACTTGTAAGTAAAAATAAACAAGAAGTATATACTGTATACAAGGGTTGTCCCAGTAGTAATGCACTCACTATATGCTCTAACTTTACTTCTGGGACAACCCTCGTATTTTTTAAATCGCACTAAGAACATTCATGTTTTACTCTTTTTGATATAACTTTGAATCAAAGTGATCCTGAAGAGATACCGTTGTCCAAGTATCTGGGTTTTTGGTATAATTTGTGCTCTTACGTAACATGGTCACTTTCATTTAAGTTTCATACTTTAATATATTTATTATATACATAATCTGACATCTAGTACAACATAGTTATATGAAAATATGTTTTTGATAGTAGAATAGTGATTTAAGATCTGTTGTTTATTGAAAATGATGATATATGAAACATTTTCAGATCTGTTACTCATGTGTTCTTTATCACAGACTAATAATATAATATCCCCCTTTATTCCAGAATAGTGATATAATATCTGTACTAAATCTGGATGACAATAACATCCAGTCAGAGGGCGCGGGCTACATAGCAGATGTTCTCACAGCAAAAACAGTAATAACCGAATTGGTAAGTCCAAATGCATACAATATTAATTTTTGAAATCAATTGCTTGATCTCTTCTGAAATCAGGAAATGATAAGATTTGACAGCCGGACTTAAACTTGGTCTTAGAAAAGCCCTTATCTTAGTATTCTAAATGAGATTATATATAGGAGGATTGGCTCCCAGGGTTCCATCTCGACATTCTGCCATATAAGGAGTCATGTCCGGATTACAAAATTCGAAACAAAATAGTCACCATTTTTTCACTTCAGAATTTGAATCGCGAGTTTGCGGTAGAAATCAGCACGGAACATATTGGCTGGAGATTAAACATATCGAGTTGGAATTCTTGGATTCATTCCTCCATGTATGCGTATCTAATATAATATATCTCATACATTCAAGGTGCTTTCCCACAATGCCATAGGTAAAGAAGGCTTTGAGGAACTGTGTGACGTATTAGAGGACAATTTAACTATACGGGTACTTGATATACGAGGTATCTAAACCAATGAAATTATTTCACTGATATACTATGTCTCTGTCAACAAAGTCCTGAGAATTCCCATATTCGTCAAGATGCAACTTTTGACAATATTACCGTAATTCTATTTCTTTATATAAGCTTTATGTTAGTAACTTAGAAAACAAGAAGGTAGATGCAAATCTAATTCTGAGTCACTTCGTTGAGTAATTATCTTGGAGATCAAATACAATATTTTTTAAACCTTGAAATTAAAAACTCTGAAGAGTGAACTAAAACTAAAATATCTATGTGCAGCATGGCATGTGATTTTAGACAATCATATCTTTAACCACGAATACTTTCTGGGCATAAATACAGTGGTTTTCTTTAAAACAATATATTTTCTTTCAAGTGATGATGAAAAATATCAATCGAACAATTCGAAATTATGAAAAGAGACCCAATGTCAACATCTTTTTCAAAATGGTGAATCTATTTACTCAAAAGAGGATCTTTTTCTGTTTTTTATTCCATGAAAAGATTATTCAACAATGGGTCCAAAACTTCTTCAAAAGTAGAATAGTATTGAAAGTCTAGTTTTGAAGATATCAATCTTCGATGACCAAAATTATGCTGAAAACAATGGATAGCATGAGTTTTCCCTATGGGAAAATAACATGGGATATGTGGTTTTTAACTAACGGATTTCAATACGCATCAACTTTTCAGAAATTGTTAATATAGTGTAAAAGAAACTTTCGATGTTTAAATTGAGAGAGACAATGTCCTCTTTTTAGAAAATGAGCCTTACATTTTTTTAAAAAGTGCAAAGGCGGGGTCCTATAAACCATCATGGGGGAAAGATATGACTGTCTGAAATCACTTGCCATACTGCACATGGACCTTTACGATTTAACGATTTGCCTCAACATGTATCTTACCTTTGACATTTCAGGCAATCACCTAAAAGATGATTCTGCGCCGTTATTTGCCAAGGTCATCGAGGTAGGTAGTCCAGACTCTGTCATCTGAAAAATACATATACCAATATGTTTATCCCTGATTATTTGAAAAATGTATTTTTTGCGTATTTTACTGTTATCACTACGCCTATGAAATGTGATAACTAGTCACAACATGCGTTTTAAATAGCGAGCAAGCGAAGTTTTGTACTGATTGCAAAATTACTATTCTTTTATTTATTCAGATTCTGGCTTTTCTCTCGTTTGAACTTTGGTTTAAGATGTAAGAACTTTAAAAAGTAATTGTATTTTATTTTCTAGAATAATATCCACCTGAAAGATGTTAACCTTAGCCATAATGACTTCCGTGGAAGCGGCGCTGTAGCCCTAGGGTTGTCACTAAGTTAGTATTGAGAGACGAATAAATTGAGTGATTTCGCAACTCACTTATAGCATGTTTATTATCCCCGTCGTCTATATAAGAGTATCACACTTATGGACGTACAGCGCTGCACAATGAATGATGACGTTATCAAACTCTTCATAATAAGCTATACGTTATGCGGGAATAATAAAAAGTGAGTTGCGAAATCTCTCTATTGTCATGATGATGCCCACTGTTATGTGGCAGAGGAAGAGGATTGATTAGGTATTGACTTTTATTGTATATTCGTGTTTAATCGGCAGCTCGATCTTTTTTCATCCACCTAGAGTTTGCCATCTCTGATGACGACAACACATTGCAGCAAAATTGAAACTAAAATCCGGTCATTATGATAATACGGAGGAATATAAATCGTTTATGAACTTTATCTTCCAGGAAACAATGATACCATCGAGTACATGGATCTCAGCTGGAATCACCTGAGAGGTAGAGGTGCAATATCAATAGGTATCGGACTCAAGGTAAATTTGTCACTATTTTTATGGTGTTCTGTCATTGCTATAGCCTACCTTGACAATTTGCATTGTTTCCCAGCGTATAAATACAGGCCTGTGAATATTATAAAGTATTAAAACATGTTTATTCACATTTACACAATCGAAATGTAATTTCCATTTCATTGATAAAAAATATTCATCAAAAATAACGTATCATTACGTGCCTCGTACGGACAAGTACATGGATCGGAAATTCCGGGTTCTTGCGGGCATCGTTATGACAGACCATTACAGAGCTTTGAAATAACGAGCTGTTTTATGGGCCTTCCCGTACGGGCAAGTACATGGCTCGAAAATTACCAAAAATGACGGGCCTTGTTACGGGCCTCGTACGGGCAAGTATAGTCTGTATAGATGGGTCGGATATTATGGGTTCTAACGGGCCTTTTGAAACCAAGTCAGTATGAGGCTCGGAAATTACGAGCAATTACGAGATTCGTCACAAGACCCGTTCAAGGTTGCAAGGTTGTACAGAGCCCGTTGAGGGAACGGGGCTCGTATAACCACGCACGGACCCCGATGTAATTTGCCATTTGCCAATCAAACAGAAAAACAGTTTTTCACGTATTATATTAATGTTTTGACCCCAAAACTTATTTGAATTAAAATAAAAATTAATAATCCTAGTTTATCCTCCTAGTTTAATTACACTTAAAATCCATATGTTCAGGAGAACCTTGGGCTGAAGATACTCAAGTTGGGATGGAACGGATTTGCAAATGACGGTGCGGAAACCATAGGGAAGGCATTGGCTCGTAACAGTACCCTGTTGGAACTTGATCTAACAAACAACAGAATTGGGACAATTGGTCTTGGGCATATTGTAAAAGGTCTGCAGAAGAACTACACGCTAGTTGCTCTCAAGGTACGTTATTTACGTAGTTTTTGTTTATTATTTTATTTTCTATAATTGTTTCTATCAATAAGTTTGAAGACGACATACGAGTATATTTATATCTTAACTTTACATCAAGTACTGTTTTACCCATGTTAGCTTCATGTTATCGAGTTGGTCACTTTTTGGCCCGGTGTAGGAAGTGTAGGGTGACCTAAATACAACTCTTTCCCTTATTATCTTATACACAATCAGGGCCAACAAGGGCCGTTTAGAAAGGGGACCATAATCCCCGGGGGACCATAATTTCTTTCACACCGGCCTGTACATGTTTTGAAATGTTACCCATTTTTCACTCACCCTGTACATGTTTTGAACGCTCCCCATTGTTGTTAATGATTCCAGCTCGGCCAGAACCCACTGAGAATGGTCGCCTGTGAAACAATTCTTCAAAGTATAATAAAACACTCATCAATTGCACTGAAAGAACTTGATTTACGTGATATTCCTGTCAGCAAAGATTTTAACAAGCTCCTGAAGCAAGTCAGACAAACGAGGATATTTGTCACAGTTACTGGACAGGAACTGGTTGGAGACCTTATAGAAGGGGAAGATGACGGATTGGATTGGAATAAGGATCCTAGGACAGTATGTTTGGATTCTTGTAACAGCCTAATTAAAAACATGTTACATTTGACAAAAATGCCACATGTCGTATGTACATGTATAATGAACACAACGTCACTCCCCTCATAATCATGCCCATAATGGTTGTGTTTGTTTCCAACATTATGTAATATTCAGTAATTAATGATAAAAAGTGTATTAGATATCATATAATATGCCAAGGAATGACTCATATTCTAAAATTATATCAATTACTAGATAGTATACATTTTGCAAATAGAAAATATTTTTTCTATTATTATCTAATTTTCTAGGTTCTGTTTGAGTATATGAAAAGGGAAGGATTCAGAGTTATCGATCTATTCAAAAAGTTAGATACGGATAACAGCAACTCGTTAACAAGGAACGAATTCAAGAATGGGTTACTGGTAAGTGCATTTGTGATATGCTGTCAAAAGATATACAGACAAAATTGCTGTGATGAAAAATCAACGATAATTTACAACTTATAAGTAAAGATTTTTGGATCGGTGAATGATAATGATAAATCATTTGTTTCTTTTATTCTTACTCAAAAGGGCAGAATACTAAAATGCCATGAATGGGTATAATAATTTTTTTTATTCATGGTTTCCATTCGTGGATAAAAATCATATCACTCATAAATCATAGGATATCCTCTATATATCAATTTGTTGAATCATTCCTCACTTTATATCATGTACAATTGCAAATGTGAGGTTAGTTTAAAGGCAAAATTATGCCCCCATTAAGTTAATACTAAGCATCCTTTATTATAGGACATCGAGGTGCCCCTGACAGAGTCTCAACTGGACAAGCTTCTAGATATAGTAGATGAGGACAAAAGCGGTGACGTTGAATTAAAGTAAGCCACAACAATCAATACATAATATTATCTCATCGCTTGCACCCATTTCAAGTTTGGAGGTACATGTATTCCTTAACATCCGGATGTGGTGATGCACAGAGTTAAATTAAGACTAACTGCACAAAGAAAGGAATTGGAGTAATTTCCATGTACATGTAGTTGCCTGTTGCGCCTTTTATACATTCACTGATATGTGTTTAGTCCACCATGTACAATGAAATTATTATAGTACATGTAGATAGCAAGAATTGCGTTTCAGATAATATAACATTCGCTTTTCTAGATTTTGCCATTTTTCTACTTTGCACTGTAATTTTTGACATCATTTGTAATTGTGATATCATTTGAAATTTATTTTGCGAAATATACTTTTTAAGTTGACTTTTCTGCACTTAATTTTAAGAAATGCATATTATTTGATTTTTGATTTGTGATATATTACCAGGTCGACCAATAATTTCAGTCAAAATAATATTTTCGGTTGTTAATAATGTACACTAAATGTTGCTGATGTCAAATCTAGGGTGAAAAAGCAAAACTTGTTCCAGGAACGGCTTCACAGTCGTATAACGATCATATGCATGGGCTTTCTCTCGAATGGTGTAACAACGACCTCAACAGTTATGCTTCCAATTGCACGTGATCATTTTAGCAAGTATTTGATTTATCGGGACTTATTGATCGACCTAGTAGTGTTTGATATTATTTGATTATTTGCACTTTATTTAGCAAAAGAACAGTTCGTCTATCGTAAGCAATAACTCTTTGTGTGAAGTGATTATAACCATCTTATTTGTCCTCTCTTCTCTTAAAAGGTACTCAAATGGATGTCAAGTCTCTCACCTTGTGCACTGCACGTTAAATGTGTATTTCATGCTCTATTGATAGATTACTGTCGTATTTTTCAAATTAACACCTGATGAATTTGGTAACTTTCGAGCTGATCGACGTATTTAACATGTTTTGATTTGCTCACATCAATCAAATTATGTGTTTAACATTATTTTTTAACCTAAATGTGCTAATCTGTATTTCTGTTGAACTTGTCTATATCTTTGATTGTGTCATTAAGACTAGACGAGTGCATTTCTCTAAACGGACCATTGTATAAAACTACCTGTAGGGGTTCTTATGAAGAAGCTTGTAGTGCACAATGGGAAACTGCTTGTTGAGATGATATTTGGGTGATTGGATCGTTCACCATTATTTTGTTTATTATCAACGTCACTCCCCTCATAATCTTGCCCATAATGGTTGTGTTTGTTTCCACAACTTTATGTAATATTCAGTAATCAATGATAAAAAGTGTATTAGATATCATATAATACGCCAAGGAATGACTCATATTCTAAAATTACATCTCAATTATACATTTTGCAAATAGAAAATAATTTTCAACTTTCTACACTGTACTGTACTGTTTTAAAAGTATATTTACTTATGGTATATGTATATACGGTCTTTTCATGAGTCTACGTTTATCTCAACTATGTTACTTTTTCAGGGAGTTGATTAACGCCGAACGCCAGTTCAAACGAGAGCAATTGGCGCGGACAGTGGCAAAGGAACAACGGGAACGACTGGAACGAGCCAAACGGAAACAAACAATGAAAGATGGAAAGAGCAATCAGAATATGAACGACCTCAATTTGTCTAAATTACCACCGATAACGAACACCAAACCAAAATAGAGTGTTAACAGAATCCCGAATAAAATGTTGAAATGCTGTATATTGATTTTTTTTTAAAAATGATTACCAGTAATTTGTTTTTGTTGGTTTTATTTGGAACTCGTACACGATACCCCATCACAGACCTATACCCTAATAGAGAGGAGATACTAAGGGCCAACAAAACATGTACAGTATAGACCAATTTACAGAAAGATAATTTCCCAAAAATTCTTGACCAACCAAATTCCAAACTTTGCTTACATGTATCTTTGTGTGTTTCCATCAACAGTGTCAAGATATAGGGACAGAAAATATTGACATTTTAAAAGTACCGTTTTTTCGTTTTGTTATTATGGAAAGTCAAACATGACTATAGATGATGTTTTATGTAGGCATTTATGTATGATACTTAACCATACTCTACGAAGAATGGATGATTTTTGTAGGCATTTATGTAGGCATTCTTAAAACACGTTACTTTGCCTTAAAAACGTTACTTTATTGGACTTTAACTTTTCTCCTCGAAGAATGGACATGTATAGTTTCCATCACTGACATTCATACATTTACAAATGCTCATTCATTAATGCATTTGTTTCTCAAAAATGGCAATGGGTACATGGGTAAACAGAATGTGTATTAACACATACACTGCTAAAATATTATAGCTATAATGCCTTGGTCACATTTGCACCGACTTTCACTACGGAGCCCGGCCGATTGAGTATTTTTTTCAAAATTGAATAGAATATTGAACAAAACATGTACACTCAATCTGCCGTTCGTCGATCGGCCGATGGATCGGAGCAAATGTGACCCAGGCATAACTTGAATTAGTTTTGAGATAAAGTTGACATGGTAACCTGTATTTAGGGCAGGCGGGTCAGTTAAATTAGAACGTATAAAATAGGTAAAGGTCCATGTGAAATATGGCAAGTGATTTTAGACGGTCATATCTTTGACCATGGGTACTTTCTAACCATCAATACAGTTGTATTTATTGAAACAATATGTTTTCTACCAAGCGAAGGACTTTATGGATTAGGACCCCACCTCGAAAGTTTCTTCTACACTATATTAACAATTTCTGAAAAGGGGATGCGTATTGAAATCCGTTAAAGTTAAAAACCACGTATCCCATGTTATTTTCCCATGGGGAAAACTAATGCTATCCATTGTTTTCAGCATTATTTTGGCCATCAAAATTTGATATCTTCAAAACTAGACTTTCAATACCATTCTGCTTTTGAAGAAGTTTTAGACCTTTTGTTGAATAATCTTTTCATGCAATACAACCCAGGAAAAGAAGATCCTCTTTTGAGGAAATAGGTTCAACATTTTTTCAGCAGATCAAACACATCTTCAGGTCATTGCAAACTACTATATCTAGTATTCGTTGAACTATTCCATACCCTATGTTGCCCCGGTTTGCTAATTTCCACATTGGTATAGTTCTCTCTTTATAAATTGCATCTCATATTATCTTGATATTCTTTTCTGTCCGCAAGCTCTTCTTGCAATGCAACCAGATTATGGATGATCTTCAATAGTGAACATGCCTTCCTTAAATTTACAAAATGACCCACAGATTCTTGGAGCAGATATAACCCCTTGCCCATACACTCTATGAGTCCACATACAGGGTGTCCCGAAAGTATGCCCCCCCCTAGGCAGACATATTTGTCATAGTATGTGTCATATATCATTTTAAAGTTACATTGATTCGCCAAGTATCATGGTTCAACTCTCAAATGTGAAAAAATCACAGGCATTTCAATTGAGTGTTTGGTCAAAATTAAGTTCAATTTTACACCAAATCAGTAGTCAATGTGTCCTTCCGGGCCATCTTAACAGCATCAATTCTTTTCGGGTCGGATGGATATTGAGTTGGAAAAAGAGAATGGTGAGGGTAGAAACTCTAAGGAAACACTTCTAAAATTCCCTTAACAGGTTTTAAGATGGTTATAAATTCCACACCCCTATTTGAAGGGCTTTTAAAGTCATATCTAAAAATAATTGTTGCTGTTTCCATGGCCAAGGGGGACATATTGACTAGTAATGTGGTGTAAAATTGAACTTTATTTTGACAAAACACTAAGTTTTAAAATGACTGTAATTTGTTCCCATTTGGGAGTTAAACCATAATACTTAGCAAATCAATGTAACATGGATAAGCTATGAAATGATATATGACACATACTATGAGGACACTGGAATATGTCTGCCTAGGGGGGGGGGAGCATACTTTCGGGACACCCTGTATAGTACATAAAAACCAATGGTACTCCTAATGTATCAATCTAATCTCAATCTAATGTCACACTCTGCATCCACAGTCACACCAGCCTCATCTGACATTTTGACTTTTGGGGTGTCGTGACACAATGCCAATTGGCCCATTCTGTCATATAATGCTATTGTGAGCTGTTTTGATGTTATAGTGAGCACATATACGCATTTGTTTAGCAACAAACAATGAGCAACAATACCAAACCTTTTTGGTATCGGCATAGTTTAAAATAATCAAAATAACAAGTAATTGTGATATTTTGTGTGAAAAGATCACAAAATGAGAGCATTTTTATCAGAATATATGGATCACCCCTTGTATATATATAAAAAATGATTTTCTTCGTGGGTTTGGAAATTATTTCTACTTCATATGTCACACACGTTGCCATTGACATTTCTTCTATGATAATGATTATTTGTTTTCTGTAAGGATACTTATTTCCATCCTCAGCAGGGGGTTAATTATGCATCAAAACTCATGAAAAAGTAAATATACGTATCAAATATAACTAGGACAGTTATAAAGATCATCATTGACATACATTTAACTGAAGGACCAAAATGGCATATATCCAGAATCATCCTTTTGACATTACCCAAAATACATCCTCTCTCGATATACACATAATTTCTAAAAGGCCAAGGGACAAGATGGAAATTTTGACAAAAAGTGTTGGCCTGTTAAATTCTCCATCTTAAGTCAAAAAGACAATGCAAAGCATGCCAAAACGTCAGAAGGTCACCATCTACCTAATTTGTCAAAATCCCCATCCTGCATGGGGGAGGGGGGGGGGGGGTGTCGCACACAAAGATTTGAATGGTGCATTAATCTTGATCTTTTTCCATCTTGCATCATTCACCAAACATTAAGAAACATACATGACATAACAGGAGATAGAATTCCATTGCACTTTATTTACATCAGAGACAAGCATCACTCCAACATCACTCCCAACATGCATATACATTATCACTATTTACACTATTTATGATGCGATTTGCAGTTGAGGTCCTCATGAAGATTTGTTCTTTATTTATTAGGCAGTATTTAAGTCTATTGATAATAATGAATAATAATGAAATACAGTTTTCAGAATTAATTTTTTACAGATGTTCCTGTTCAACTCCGCGCAATATACAAATAAGTAACTGATATTCTAATGACAACCATAAAAGGTCATTAAGCACATTTGAAAAGCTTCATTACAAAATCATAGACAAATGAATGATAGAGATACCTGTAGAAATACTTTTTGCTGGGCTACTCTAGGATCTGTTACTATTTGATTTATTATAGTCGATAACTCGATCTTAGAGATGTTTCGATAAAGGTTGTTTTGAAATTTGAGGTAAAACAGACATATAACAGATGATATAATGTATATATCATATAGGAACCTAGTATATTATTTAAAACCAAGATATTTGACTCATGTGACAATAAATACAGTTTAGAAGTTCCAAATGGTATATGCATTTGAACTACATTCATTGATTTTTACTAATAGTCCACGTTTTGTAACACCCTCTATATCGAGACGCGGGCAAGTCATGGTAAAGCACTGGGGAGGAACTGGAAACGAAGATAGTTTCCTTTTATCCTTGCAATATTTGGCATGTTTGTAGTTCCGGTTTCAAAATATGATTTCAACTTAAACATTGATACTGTTATTGCTAAGATATTTACAAATATTTACAAATTAGGAAACGAGGGAAAGTACTTTTCTAGTTTCTACGAGAAATGTTCCTCCACAATGGGGGTTTCGTCATTTAAAATTTGAAGTTACAATATAAATTCGCCTGAAAACTTATATTGAAACCTCTCTAGTATTAAGCAATTAAAGTATAACAACTATTAATAATAAAGAGCTTTTGATATAAGTTTCACTTTACTTAACTTTTGAGTGACATATATACCAGATATGAAGATGTAGTTTACAGTTCTGATAAATGTTCCAGTTCCAAATTCTCTACTTAAGTCATCTTCTTTGTTTTTGAAGTGGTGAATTGTCAACAACAAAATTGTGGTTAACTCTCCTCCTATAATGCCCTGCATATTAGGCGCATCATTCACCGTAATATACAAGTCCATTGTTCATGAAATCTGCAACATTTTGGCATTGTTTGGACCACCAGCCCTTCTGTGGCGTGATGTATTGCTCCACCCTATCCTGGCAGAGGAGTTTCTCACTCACAATGAATTGCACCCAGCTCTTCCAAAAGTACTGGCACTATTTCCACCAATGGCTGCACTGAAAGAATAAATACACGTTTCTATTTATTCAGAAAGAATGAATTCAGTAGAACTGTAGAAACTGCAAGTGGAACACACTTGAGACCACAAAAAGGTGGACTTTAAAAACAATGTTACACATGTGAGATGTTCCACTCAGCAGGTTCTACTGTTATCATAACAAAAATAGTATTACATCTTAATAACTGGTCATAACTCATATAAAGTACTTATAAATTTTATATTTACTGCATATTTAGTAAATGCAGCACTTATTCAATGCAACACCTTACCTGTAATAATCCATCCTTCGAATGTCACCCAACCGAGGGTTTATTTGATCTTTTCCTCTCTTGAAAGATTAGGAATTGCTTGAACTTCTTCACTCCAACTGTCAAGCCAGCCGAAGAACTCCACAGTCAGCCACTAGAACAAAGTAAATAAGCCAGATATTACATATTTATTACTTGTACAGTGTGTCCCGAAAGTATGCCCCCCTCCTAGGCAGA